CCCCCCCCCCCCCCCCCCCCCCCCTTTCCGGTTTGCATCCATGTCAATTTTCAGATGCATTCATCATTGCAAATGTCTGAAACTGAACTGGCGACCGCATTCATTTCATATCCAGTGCATCATCTTTAGTTCCTCCTCCCTGCCAAGTTCACATCCTCCACGAAAACCAATCAATGCAGGGCTATGCCCCATAGGGGAGGGTCTCGGAGGACGCCGGCCGTATTGGGAGAGTGTGCATTCATACTGCAACTGTGCAGGAGTGGGGTGGATAACATGTCTGGTTCGGTTACACCTTTGCACACCGTTAAAGCACCAGTACACAACATACCGGCCCGCGGGGGTCAGCGTGAAACCCGCACCACTTCGGAGGCTGCCAATTTTTTTTTTCAACGGCGGGCCTTGCCGCGCGGCGCCTCCGAGTTTTGCTTGTAGCGACAAAAACTTTCTGCAAGCCTGGAGCCGTGTACTAGCGGTTTAAGGTGTCTGGTGCCCCGGTACAGCTACACTTTCGCACACCGGGTTGTCGTTGCAGTGGTTAAGGTGTCTGGCTGTTTAGCCCGAGCTCGCCGGTTCGAATCCTGGCACAGTTGTTCCGACATTATGCTAATATATATATCCAATCGGTGCAAGGGTGTCAGCCTTTCAGGCTGCACGCATAAGAAGTTACCTTGCGGCATCCATGAAAACCAATCAATGCAGGGCTATGACCCGTAGGAGGGGGGCTATGCCCCGTAGGAGGGTCTCGGAGGATGTCGTATAGGGAGAGTGTGCATCATCATACAGCAACCGTGCAGGCGTAGGGTGGATATCATCACCGGCACAGCTACCACTTTTGCACATGCGGGTTGCAGTTGGAGTGGTTAAGGCGTCTGGCTGTTTAGCCCGAGCTCGCCAGTTCGAATCAAGGCACAGCCGTACCAACAGCGTGGTAAACAATACCCAATCGGTGCACCGGTTTCAGGCTGCAAGAATGAGAAAGTTACCTTGCAGCGTCCAAAAGCTTTGAGGCGATGCCCTTCCTTCTCGCTCGGGCCCATACCCAAATCGCTCTCACTCCACAGACAGCCTTCACGCTCGTATCGCTGCAAACGAGTGATCGCATTACTTTCCTGCCTTGCAACCTCCGGTCTCGATCTCGATGGGTATAACTAGTCTTGGACATGCTGCCAGAGCTTCCCAACTTACGAAACATCGACCCACCATACCAGTTCGCAGCTGACTGCAGGTGCCCGTCACGATCGCAACGGCTTTTCATTGCAACCATTTCAAGCCCTCTCCCCCTCTCCCGATGTTCCGCGTAACTGGTACCTTCCTGGGCTTCCTCTGCTGACCGGTCATCGATGTGTCCGGATTGGGAAGTGTCAGCAAAGGAACATCGCAAACTGGTGCATCCGCCAACAAACATCGGATACCGATTTCCATCTTGATCTGCCAGCCCATCCCCCTTGGCTTCCCTGTCGTTGCAGCAACATCCAGTCCTTTTTGCTAGCCGTGTGGTACCGTCATCTCTATCACGGCAACCATTCGCTGCTGCAGGACCTTCTCGATGATCTTCCTCACGACCCTTACCAATCTTCAGGCTATAATGAACAGTGTTATCTTGACCCCCCCCCCCCTCCCTCTCCTCGCAGCAACATCCAGCCTCTTTTGCTGACCGTGGGGTACTGTCATCTCTCCCATGCCAACCATTCGCAGCAGCTGCAGGACCCTCTAGGCGGTCTTCCTCATGGCCCTCACCGATCTCCAAGCTATAATGATGGACAACACGATCATGAAAATCCCCTCGCACATATCTGGTTATGGCTTCCCGGTTGCTAGATGACTCATCTGCCTTCAACTGATCATCCTTCCTTTCCTCCTCTTCGACGCAATCCATCATCCTCCCCTCTATCGATCTCTCGATCCCATTTTCTGCTGCTCTCTTAGCCCCTCCTTGCTCCTCATAATTCACACCTTGCGGCCCGTCGATGTCATGACATCTATTTTTAGCCCCTTGCTCTTTGTTCACATTGCCCAGATGCCTCAGGTCAGATTGTCGCAACGCCGCTGTCGCCTGCATTCGCTTCTTTGCACTCTCACTTTGGTCAAGTCCCATCCAATTCATGTCCCGTTTTCGTCCCGCCATCATGCCCATTCTCAGGTTCATGAACCTGTCCTCTCTCGCACATTGGTCCTCTTCCTCTTTGTCGATCTTTGGACCCATTGGTTTGAAGCATCTTTCCTGTTGATGGGGGTTCAGTTCCGTCCGTGGTGATCCAGAGTAATCACGTGCAGGCAATCCCTGGCAGCTTCTAACATCCTCATCATAGCTTGCCTGATCGTTATGAGATTCGATCCTCCTGTGGCGTTGTGGCTGTTCATCAATCGTGGGACCAATTGGTTCGAAGCCAGTTCGCTGTTGATCGTGGTTCAGTTCAGTCGTGGATGCAGAGTAATCACATGCAGGCGATCCCCGGCAACATGTAAGATCCTCATCATAGCTTGCACGATCATTACGAGATGGACTCGTCCTGTGGCATAGGGATTGTCCTCCAGAGGAACGAGAAGATGGCCCGCATTCTGGTGTTGATGATAGAGGTCCATTGGGGGGGTCTGGACTACTTTGATTCTGCTCAGTCAGGAGGACAGGGAAAGCTTCACGGATGGCTTCGGCTACAACACAACCCAGGACCTTTTTGGTCGCAACATACAGGTATATCTGTGTGGCCAAAATGCACGATACAAAAGCAATGTGGCACTCGTCAGTTGGCCGTCTCCTTCGGGATGCCAATCCTGCAAAACTCACGATTGATCTAAAGTACACAACCAGAGTTTGTAATACAAATACCAACCATACAAATACGAACAGACTCCCTGAAACGATTGGATGACACTTTTTTTTTTGGAATTGGCAGCGTGCTGAAGGTTCCGTTGCATGCTCACCCATGTCCTGCAACCAAGTCCACTTCTTCCATATTTGTTCCTTTTGAATCGGACTTGTGATCCCCAGGATGGATATAGACTATTATAGAGCCAGAACCGTAAGGTTCTGTTATGGTTAAAAAAAAAAAAAAAAAAAAAAAAGCACACACAATAGGCTACCAGAGTGGCCCGGGACCACTTGCCCGGCCGGGCCAAAAACAAATAGAAATATAAACCTTTAAAAAAAAGTAAGACTTATTTAATTTCTTTTTCATTTTTTTTAAAATTCAAAATCTGGTAAAAAAATTCAATGCGACCCTCAGGCAAAAGTTGTTCAGTTTATCTTTCTGCATAACATAATTTTTTGCAGGTACACACACTGGTCCAAAGGTATCTAGCCCAGGCCGCTGGTCAAGCACACACACTGGTTTGTATGCAGGTACCCAGACGGCATCAGGTCCAAGGGAGAAGTCTGCAACTGTACAATCCGGGCCTTCAGATGTGAGTCAATCTGGACGACTGTGGGGAAAGCACCGAGGCCAGACAGCCTCGACATCTGTTACTTAAGGCTGGCCTCGAGTGAGTCAAGCATTCAGTCTTGCTATGCTGCTTTGACACTGGTCTTCATTGGTGATGTGGCATATGCCACCTATCTCGACTGCTGATGTGGCACTGTCCACGCTGTCTACATGAGGTGACTGGTTGCGTGGAGGAGGAAGATCGGGATCTGTGGATGAAGGAGGTCGGGTACTCACCTGAGGTTGACGTCGTCGTTGGAATCTGCTATGTCTTCACGGACTTCACGAGATGAAGTGCCACGTGGCACTATTGCGTGTGATCAGGAATATACTTGTTATCATTGTTGACGTGGAGAGGGAAGAAGCCCGGAGAAGGAGAGGCATCTGAAGGGATTCTGTGGGATCTATCATCTTTTCCTTTGTCTGTTCCTCCTCCACTCTCTTCTTTGATGGTAATGAGATACTGTTTGAGATTTCACTTTACGATTTGGAGACTTTGATGCAGATAACGAAACTACTGATGTTTGACAACTTCTGAGTATTTGCCAGACTGGGTTCATTACAATTTGGTATCGGAGCTACTCTTTGATCGCAATCTGCTGACTGCTGTCAGGTGCTGACGTGGCACCCAGGTAAGTGGGAAGTGCCGCATGTGCAAAACGAAACGCACTTATTAACGCGCACGGTATATACTGCAAGTCTAGACATGGTAGTATTGCACGTGCGCGCAGCTGTCCCTTGAAGATGATGACACGGCTGCATTGAAGATTTCAAGATGCTGGCAAGAGCTTCGTTGGCAATGTGCTGACGAGGCACTGGTACAGAGAGAGATAGGTACCGCTGATGTGGCACATTGTTTATGTGGCATGCAGGGCATGGTCTGAAGTGGCACGTACCTGTGTCACTATTGCTCGCTGTTGATGTGCTGACATGGTATGCTGGTGTTGAGTGTGTGGCAAACCTGCATTGCCGACGTGGCCTCCCCTCTAGAAGACCTTTCAGGTCCTTGTCGCTGACGTGGCAGTAGTGCAACGTTGGCATGCCAGGGGTGACACGTGGGATGCAAAGATTGTGCACTTGTTGTTGAGGGCCACATTGTTTCTGCAGATGATAAAGTAGAAGCTAACTATTGATTGTATTGTTGTGCTGGCTTTTCTACTTACCTGTTGTCTGTTCTGTGGATGCTGTGTGTACTCACAAGTGTGCTGTTGTCTTCACTGGTCGTGGCTGCGGTACATGTAGCTGTAGGACATCATCACATAGGAAACAGACAGCAAAGTTGGACTTAGGAATTGATTGAGACCCTGCTGCTTTGCAATTGCCTTGTTTGTTTCTTGCTTTAGGAGTTGCGTGTGTCGTGGAATTTATTATTGTCTTTTGATTTTATTTGTTGTGCGGCATCTACACATTTGGAAAAATGAACTCCCTCTGGAAATGTCTGCGTGCTTCAATCTTGACGCGGTTCATTCCTCTTTTCTTCTTCCCTATCCCTCTCATGGTCTATGCCGATGAAGAAGGGGGGGAACTAAAGACCCGTGGGCAAATTGATGCCAGAAAGAAGACTTTGATTGGTCTTCTCCATCAGTTTCTCGGTGAGGTACACGGCGCCCGTTCCGAAATTGAACAGCGGATTCATGGCCAGTTCGATCTGCAAGCTGCAGAAAGCAAACTGGAAGCCGTCGAAACCGCCGTTCAAGTGATTGAGACCGGTAAAAAGGTTGAGGACCTCATAAAGCAAGGACGAATAGTCCTTGATCGGTATGTCGCCGAGGGATTTGGCAAGATAGAATAGGAAAGAAAGAAGAGAAGAGAAGAAGAAAAGAAAAAAAGCAAGTAGAACCGCATCCGTCTGTTGAGGTGATGGAGGAAAATGTCAGACAATTAGAAAACACTCTAAGTGAAGAAAGGAGAAAGATCGAGGAGTTCTGAAGAATACAAGAAGCACAGGAAGAAGAGGAACGAATAATGAATGAATTAAGGCAAAAATTTCGTTATGAGGAAGCAGGCAGCGAGCTTGCATCCATCCTTCAATCAATCATGATCTGTCTTGTTTCCCTTGAAAAGAAGATTAACAGTAACACTGCCTCATTAGAGACAGTGGCTAGAATCTTGAAAGGAAAGGACAAGGTAAGATTTGAGGAGGCGACCAGGGGGGAGTTAGTGAAGAAGGAACCCCAAGAGAAATTGATGAAGGATGCCATGAAGCGAGCTACGCAAAACGAAGCCGAAGGTTCTAAGAAAGAACCTGAGAGATCGGACGAGAACAAAGAAGAACCCACTAAGAAAGAGGAATCGGTCAAAGAAGCGGAGAAGCCAAAGAAGAAGGAAAATGTTAAAATGAAATTGCCATTTATGTATAACAAGAAGAAGGAAGAAAACTTGTTGTTATGGATTGCGGAAATTCAGACTTATTGTAACACTGCACCCGTTGAGCCCAAGAGTCAGGTCGCATTCTCCACGTCTTGTCTGCGAGGAGTGGCCAAGGAATGGGTGCTGGCCGAACCAATGCTGCTGGTTTTGAGGATATCGGTGATTGGGCTAAGACCCTTGACCTCAAGCAGTTTCTCCAAAAGATCAAGGAGAGATTTCTTGACAAGACGACGACTGATAAGGCCTTCGACCAACTCACCACCATTGGCCAGAAACGTTGGACTTCGGTTGATGCTTTGTTGCATGAGGTTGATCGTCTTGTGCAGGTACCTGGACTGAACCTTCAGGATAACCAGGTTCTCTATATCTACTCACGTGCACTGCCCGAGCCCATCCGTGGACAACTTGTGCCAGAAGCTAAGTCTGGTAAGTATAACCATCGCCAGTTTCGCGATCTCGCTCTCCAAAGAGAGTAGATGACCGCACAAGTAAAAGGATCTTACGCTTCGGTAGTCAAATCGAGACCGGTTGGGGGATATGGCAAGTGGGTCCTGTGGCGGCAAAAGCGCCAGGACCACATGCTTGTGTTATTTGACGATGAGACTGTAGAAAAGTTACCGCTCGAAGAATCCGAGGGAGGAGGTGGTACAGGCAGCAGTGAGTCCGGGAAGGGTGAAGTCACTGCTGTCATGGCCAACAAGGGCGGCCAGAACCAATGGAAGAAGAAGAGGAGGCCGCGCATCTTTCCCGAGCATCCCGGCATCGCGTTCGGCAGACCTTGGGAGAAAATGAACATAACTCGTGAGGAATGGCAATCCAAGATGGACAACCGCCAATGCCTCAAGTGTGGCACCGTGGGGCACGTGATAGCCTGGTGCCCGCTTATTCGTAACCCAAGAGCGAGCAGCCAGTAGGAGTAACATCTGCTCCTACTGAGTTGAAGGGATTAGACGAAGACAAAGGAAAGGCGCCTGCAACCCCTTCTACCCCTTCGACTCTTAAGGCAGAGGATGGCTCTTCTTCCGCCCGTCGTCCGGACGACCCTGACACAGGACTTTGTTCTGTCTCACTGGACGATTCCCTTGACGAGCTCGACAATGAACTTATAGCACTACGTCGCTCGTAGGCGAAGAAAGTTACGTCTAAGGGTGAACTAATGATCACGGATATTGTGAGTGCACACACGCAAATAGGTGCCCTGTTAGATCCAGGATCGACCTGGTCTTACCTCTCAGAGAAGGCAATTCGGAAATTGCATCTGGGAATGAAGGTAAAAGACTTACCTAGACCTATCACGTCTATACTGGCCGATAAGAGCACGATCACTGTCTCTCAATACGTCGATCGTGTTAAACCACCAGTACCTCCCCATTGTTTTTTACAACTCGCGGTCGTTAACGTGCCGCGACTTTCAGGGGTTGGGCGAACGAACACCCGGTCGCTGATATTTCGAAAAAA